TTTTAAAAAAACAGAAAATTGAATATTGGGCCTGAGGGTCTGTGCAAGAGAGGGCCTTGAAATTTAATCTTCGTGGTTTCTTAAGTCTGCTTCTGGATGTGAGAATCTGCAAAAAGTTTGGGACCCACTGTTTTCTGTCATTTCACACAGGGGAAAGGTTTTTACCCTGTCTGCAGGAAGTTAGTATGTTCAGATTGGGAACAATATGGGACATAAGGTTTAGTAACGGTATCTCACTAATAGGTAATAAGATGACACACTTCCTTCCCAATTTTGGCTTCTAAGCTTCCTAGGAGTATACCTGATGTTAGAGACAACAAAGTGAGGCAGGCTGTTTTGACTTAGTAAATGCCAGTAGTGATGATGATTAAATAAGTCTAAAGTAGATTACTTTCAAGTAATCTTTAAGTAGATTAAAGATTAAATAAATATAAGAATTTATGCTCAGATTTTTAATTTCTTCATGATTCAGCCTTGGTTGTTGTTGTTGTTAAGTCTCTCAGTCGTGTCCGACTCTTTGCAACCCTGTGAACTGCAGCCCTTCAGACTTTCCTGTCCTTCACTATCTCTTGGGGTTTGCTCCAACTCATGTCCATTGAGTCAGTGATGCCATCCAACCATCTCATCGTCTGTCGTCCCTTTCTCCTCCTGCCTTCAGTCTTTCCCAGAATCAGGATCTTTTCCAATGAGTCAGCTCTTTGCATCAGGTGGCCAAAGTATTGGAGCTTCAGCATCAGTCAGGGTTGATCTCCTTTAGGATGGACTGGTTGGATCTCTTTGCAGCCCAGGGGACTCTCAGTGTCTTCTCCAACACCACAGTTCAGAAGCATCAATTTTTTGGAGTTCAGCCTTCTTTATGGTCCAACTCTTACATCCATACACAACTACTGGAAAAACCACAGCTTTGACTATATACACTTTTGTTGGCAAATATAGATTCTTCCGTAAATTATAAGTAAACTTCTCCACAAATGAACAGAAAACAGAAATGTGGGCAAATTTTCTGGTTACTCTTTGTATATCTCAGTGTAGTCCAGTTTGCCTTCCTATTGTTTGGGTTACTTTTGGCTTTAATCGCTAGTAATGGGGCTACTGTTCCTTCATTAGAAACTGAGATACTTTTCATGGTTTTCTTGTCATTCTTTAGACCTTCTAAAATGTTACCCTGTTTCTTGTAACAGACTGAGTTGTTTACCTTTTCATGTTAATCTTTGTATTTTTAAAATAATTGTAAAATTTAAATATTTCTTCAAGCACATGGCTCAGTAGTACTGATATGTACCTTGCTCTGTGTGAGGCCTATTATTGTTCTTTTTGTGCAATTAGAAGACTTATTCCTGTTGGCTTGCAACTTTCTCGTATCCTGAGGTGCCCAAATAGAAATTTACTTCTCTATTTTTAGGCCCAGCAGTTCACTCATAATTTATTCTTTGTTTTGAAAACTTGCTTGGACATACCTATCATGTTAAATCTCAGTCATTGTGTGAAATAGGTATTGTAAAGCTGTTTTATAGACCCAGAAAACAAAGTTCAGGACAGCTACTTTGTTTGGGATTACAGAAAGTAGTAAAAATGTGGAAATTGAGCCCATATTTTCCAACTGCAAGTCTTGTCCCAGTCCTCTTAATAACATCATAGTTGTTGTGTGTGTGTGTGCGCTCACTGTCATGTCCGACTCTTTGGACCTCACGGACTCCAACCCACCAGACTCCTCTGTCCATGGAATTTTCCAGACAAGAATACTGGAGTGGGTTGCCATTTCCAACTCCAGGGGATCTTCCTGATCCAGGGATGGAACCCTTGTCTCTTATGTCTCCTGCATTGGCAAGCAGATTCTTCACCACTGCACCACCTGGGAAGCCCCAATATCATAATTACTTTACATCATTTACTCCTTACAACTTGACCTTACATTGTGTTTCATACTCTCCTTTTCATAGAAATAGTATTCAAGCCTTATTTCCTTTTTGGAGAAGGAAATATCTACCCACTCCAGTATTCTTGCCTGGAGAATTCCATGGATGAGGAGCCTGGTGGGCTACAGTCCATGGGGTCACAAACAGTCGGATACAACTAAGTGGCTAATACTTATTTCCTTTTAATTTGACCTCATGAGTGAGTGAGTGAAGTAGCTCAGTCGTGTCCGACTCTTTGCAACGCCATAGACTGTAGCCTACCAGGCTCCTCTGTCCATGGGATTTTCCAGGCAAGGGTACTGAAGTGGGTTGCCATTTCCTTCTCCAGAATTTGATCTCATAGCTATACATTTTTTATATTTTCTTATGTAATTTTAAATTGTTTTATTATTTGCAGATATCAGTTCCTTTTCAACTTAAGAAAATAATTAAAAACTTATAAACAAGTTCTATGAAATGGAACAAAGAATTTCCATATACCCTTCAGCCAGATTTATTTATTGGTAACATTTTGCTGTTTTCAATTTATTGTTTTCTCTCTCCTCCTGGGTATACAGAAGTATGCACACATACAAGTCTTTTTTTCTGAACAGTTTCAGAGTAAGTTGCAGACATTATGCTCTTTTTTTTTTTTTTTTTGACATTCTGCTCTTTCACCCCTAAAATACTTCAGTATTGCCTAGGAAGTTCTTTTTCTTTTAAAAATTGGTTGTTAGGGACTTCCCTGGTAGTACAGTGGGTAGGAATCTGCCTGTCAACCCAGGGCACATGGGTTCACAGGCTGCAGCTACTGAAGCCCGTGTGCCTAAAGCCTGTGTTCTACAGTAAGAGACGCCACTGCAGTGAGTTCCAGCACTGCAGCTCGAGCGTAGACGCTGCTTGCCACAACTAGAGAAAATCCCATGCACAGCAACGAAGGCCCGGTGCAAACAAAAATAATACAAATAAATAAACTGCTAAAAAAAAAAAGAAGGTTGTTAGATAATTGCAAGGCTTCCTGGTGGTCTGGTGGTTAGGACTGCATGGGCGAGCACAGGTTCCGTCCCTGGCCCAGGAACTGAGATTTCTCATGCAGTGCAGTGTGTCTCCCACTCCCCAGAATAGGTTGTTAGGGCTTTGTGGGTAGAATTCTTTATTTACTTTCTCATGTATGTTTTGTAGATGGATTATATTGTTTGGAGCGAGACCTGCAATTTCATTGAAATATTTTGTCATCAGTGTTTCTTTGGACCATTTGTTACTGCCCCTCTTGGCTTTGTTCTTTTTGGCTCTGACCTCTGGTTTCTGACACCCAATTCAAGTGTGAGAGCTTTTGCCTTACCCTACACAGTGCTGCCCTTCAGAGCCTGAAGATCTTTTTCTGCTACTGCCTTTTTTCCCTTTGCTCCCTGAACTCTCGGGTGTGTATCCTCGGGCAGGCTGAGTTTCAGTGAGCTTCTCGTGGATACTGCTGCCAAGTTCTTTTGGCTTTGAGCAGAATGGAGGCTTGGTACTTGTCATTCCTTTGCGGCAGTTAAGCTGAAGGAATGCTGCATGGCTTGTTGGAAATTGCTCAGTGGCCTCCGGTGGGGTGTGTATGAGGGTGTGTGTAGAGAGTGGAGGGTCTTGTAGTCTGTTTGGGAGACGTGGGATCTTTCCTGGTTCTGTGTGCTAATCATCAGGCAGTATTTACTGAGCGCTTCATTAGGACTAGCACTGTGTTAGGAGCTTTTGGAATAGTATAATAAAGTGCATAATTAAGTCACAGTAAGTAGTCAAACAATTCTGTCTCCCACTGCCAACTTTGATTTGAGCAAGTTAATGTCTTTAAGCTTCCCCTTACGCTTCTGTAAAATGGAACTATTAATACCTACTGATTGGGCTGTTATGAAGATTGAATAAAGAATGTAGGTATTGTTTAGCACATGTCTGACACTAGCTAGTATTCCACTTCATACAGTCATTCATGGTCAGGATATATGACTGACACCATATAAAACAAAGAGTAATAAAAACAAATAGAGAATAATATGACACTATAATGTATAATCAAATACTTTAATTGTGACCTGTAGATTATAAATAGTCTGGGAATTTAGAGAAGGGAAAGAACATTCTTGTGCAACCATTTAATGTTCCTGTGCCTCAGCTTTTCCACTGAACACATTATAGATAGTGCTAGGTGATCTGAGAAGGATTAAGCTGTTACAGCATTCTTGGTTTTTTAGGTCATCCATATGATGGCGTGAAGGAAAGGAGAAGCTTGGGCAACTGTTAGAAACCAAATTTAATATTTAACATTCTTAATTTTTTCCTTATGTGGACCTGGCTGCCTTATAGGAAAACTTAAAGGTGAATATTAGAAGCATTTTGTTCCAAGGAAATTTTTGCCTCTTGCTTCTTTGGCATTTTAATTAGTTGAAGATTATTGTTGGTCAATGGATGGCCTCTGATGGTGACTGCCTTGGATATAATCTGAGGATTAAGTGATTTGGAACCCAAATTATCTCTCTGATCCTCTGGCAAAAAAAATGTAACATACAAACAGGCAGAAGAAGATTTCATTTTTTTGGATTGAATATTAAGGACATATGGTTTACTCACCTTGAGGGTTTCTCTGGGATGGGACATCTTTACTCAGTAAAGTGATAACATGCCCCTCCCACCTTTAAATAGGCTTTTATAGCCATGGGCATGTAAAACACCTTAAAAATTTTCTGTACTCAAAACATCCAAAAGAAACTGTTTTAATTTCCCAGTTTGGTATGTGTTTACTTGGTAATTTTTTTTCTTAGCCTGGTTGTGGAAAGTTCGCATTGGAGTTTTATTTTTGTCCAGATCAACTTTCTTCTCCTAGAAAATTTGAGAGAAGTCTCCTATGAAAGTAAGGCTGCTCACACCTTTTCCCCCTGCCTGTTGAGTGTTTCTCCTTTTTGTTGTTGTTGGGCTTTTTTTTTGGTCAGGGGGAGGGCTGTGTATTGTTTGTGAAGGTTTCAAGTTTATAGTGCGAGGTGAGGCAACGTTGATCTTGGCAGAACTGCACAAAGCTAGTAGAGTCATTAAGTGACGCAAGCTTTTGATTTTTTTTTTTTCTTTCTGTTAAAGCTCTCTGGCACAGCTGGCTAGTCTAGTCACGGAGGAAAAGAGAAGAGATTTTCTGAAGTTGTGGATGGAATAATAGAAGATGTTTGGGACACATTAAAGAACAACAGCAGAGCAACAACAGCAGAAACTCCATGTTTTTCAAACAAACTTCTTAGCTTTCTGAAATCTATGCCAATTGCTTAGAACCTGGGTTTTTATTTCAGAGGATGATGGGACAATGGGACAGGGCAGTAGAAGGCGAGGAGAGTTGTGCTGGATTCTTGGTTGTCTGTCTGCCTCTCCTTCCAGTTGGGAAAATCTTCAATCCACAGGAAGCATTATAAACAAGCCTAAAGAACACACTCTACCCTGATCCTGGGTTCTGTTGGAGTTGAGGATTACAGCCACTTCACCAGGATTTTATGGAGGCAGTTCAAGAAAAATAGAAGGAAGCAACACTTAAGGATTTCTCTGTTTGAATTTGTCCTGTGCCATGTTATTTTAGGTATTGTTTGGAACAAGTTGAGGAGAGCTCTGGCTTGTGGATCTAAGGATGCCCGAGTTTCTTGAGCTACCTATATGATTTGGAAAGGTTGTAAATTCAAAGTCCTTCAACATAAATTTGTTAAATTCTGAATTCTTTTTATATTAAGGACTTCAACAAACACTAAGGACTCCCCCAAAGATACAAAATTTTCTCTTGTTTTCAGGCTAAATGTGAACAGTAATGTCTTGGAAGAGAAATTATTTTTCAGGGGGCCGTGGTAGTGTCCAGGGGATGTTTGCTCCTCGAAGCTCAACCTCCATAGCTCCCAGCAAAGGCCTCAGCAATGAGCCAGGACAAAACAGCTGCTTCCTCAACAGTGCCTTGCAGGTAAGGATAATTTCTTTTTGGTGAACTTCGACTTTCAGTTGCTGGTGCTGTATTTCTGATTACTTTTTAAAATCTAATACTTGATAGTCTCTGTTTGAGGTCAGCAGCCTAAGATCAATTTTTATGTTCATCTCTGTGATCATAGGCAAGTCACTTTATCTCTTTGAGTCTCAATTAGTAAAGGAGATTAATAATGATAATAGAAATAATAACTAACTACTACTACTTCCCTGCCTAAAGGGAGGTACATGGACTAGATCATACTACTTGTTTAGTGACTTTTTACCTGAACAGTCTCTACTGTTTCTTTTTTTTCCATTTGGGACTAAGGTGTCTCATCACTCTAGTTGCTTTCCTCCAGTCTAGAAAGCAAAACTCTTTCCATAAGTCAAAGATTTTCAGGTATGTTATTCTTGTCTCATAATATTCAATCTCTCAGCACACTCACTAATTGGAGTCCAGTCTTTGTCCACTTCTTTGTCTCCTTCCTCTGAGCTCTCCTGTAGTATCTGATTAGATATGCTTGCACAGAGCTGGTAGAAAATAAATTCCCCTAAGTTGATTATCTAGTTTAAATTTTCCCCTTTGGTCTTGCTTTCCACATTAACCTTCTCAAAACCCCAGTGCTTACTATCTGTCTGCCTGCCCTGCCCAATCATGGCCATAGTGTGATAGGTTCATCCCTCTCAGTCTGACTTTCAAGTGATAGCTTTCCCCTTTCTCTCCTCTTCAGAGTAAAAGTAAATCTTAAGATAATTATGCTTGGGTAAAGTATTAGCTTTACACCTCAGATATATGAGAAAATAAGTTGTTATGAGAGAAAAAAAGTCATGACATTGTATTTGGTATAAAAAGCACTGGACTTAGGAGACCTGGGTCCTAGTTTTAGCCTTTCTTTAGACTTAGTTCATTCATTGCCACGACTCAATTATAGAACATATAATTTATCCACATATACATATTTCTATATATATACTTGAAAACATTGATAGTTTTGGAGTGCCTATTATAATCATGTTACAAGTTAAAAGCAGTTGTTTCTATGAGCTAATATTCTAACTTATGGTATTGAAAGTTCAATACCACAGGTGTATTGAACCCATTACATTTATTGTAAAAAGGTATACTTATTTGGGGGACAAACTTTTGGAAATATATACCAATAGATACCTAGTATCAATGCGAAGATGGCCCAGAGGTGTCTATTATCTGGTGCACCTAAAATGTAGTGCCTTTTCAGATATGATGCTTTTTAAGTGTTTTCCAGATAAGAGAAGCTTCCTAAGGCATTTATGCTATATATTACACTGTTTCTTTTTTAACTAAAGTTCAAAGTTTATTCAGATTTCCTGAGTTTTTTACACAGTGTCTTTTTGTATTCCAGAATCCAGTCCAAGATACTGCATTTACTTGTTTTATCTCTTTAGGCTCCTATTGGCTGTGATAGTTTCTCACAGTCTCCTTGTTTTGGTAATCTTGACAGTTTTGAATAGTAATAGTTAGGTATTTTATAGGATGTCCCATTATTGGAATTTGATGTGATGAAAATTCTCATGTTTAAACTGGGGTTATGGGTTTTTGAGAGAAATACCAAAAAAGTAAAGTGCTGTTCTCATCATTCCTGTCAAAGTTACATTCTAGGAACAGATTTATCACTGTTGATTTTACTGTTATTTTTTAAATTTTGTTGACTTAAGGAGGTCACACCTTTCTTAGAAAGGTCCAAAAATGGAGAAATCTAACAAAGACAAAATTCCACACTACAATTCAAACTTCTAAATAAGTTTTTAAATATTCTTGCTTTTCTTGTGTGGACAATTAAAATAAATCCTTAGTCTGCAGTTTTTAACCCATAAAATACCTCTTTAGGATCACATTTGATGTATGTCATGCCACATTTTCTCTGTGTGATCTACTTTATGTTTGAATTAGTGTTTTTTTCCATAAAATGGTCATCTGTGCCTCTGATTGGATACTCCACTTTATTTGGACTTTTTTTGATACATTAGAATGAACTTTCCCCTTGAGAGTAATGATGTCTTCTGTGATAATTACCTATGTTTGCTTGACTTCTTGATTTAAATGGGGAGTTTTTGTAGCGTAATGAAGTATCTTCCCTTTTCCTCAGGTTTTATGGCACTTGGACATCTTCCGACGTAGCTTTAGGCAGCTTACAACTCACAAATGCATGGGAGATTCCTGCATCTTCTGTGCTCTCAAGGTAAAAATTTCAAACTTGTTTCTTCTCACTGTCATTAGGTTGCCAAATGATCAATAATTGAGGTGGTTTGATTATTCAGATTGATGCTAAAGAATTTGTTGCTACATTATCTGCATATGGTTTAGTGCAAAGGATAAGTATGATTAATTTTGCTTGCTGCAAAGAAATACTACTTGGTATTCTGTTTCTCTGAACCTTTTGCCCATACATCTCTATTTAATGTGATAGGGTACTATTTACATGTGCTTAGACTTTGAGTATTTATCTGAAAATCTAATACTAAATTTTTGTTTTGAAAAAATAAACAATCAGCTGTTTTTCATGGAATTATCTATTGTCTATTAAAGCTAAATTTAGCAACAAACTGTTTCTATGAGGAAAAATCAGTACTAAAATTTTTCCATTCCATAATATTTCCTATTATCACATGTAATAGATTCTTTATATTGGTTCTATTTTAATCTGACTCCAATTTTTTCATTTCTGAATAAAGTGAAACTGAGGATTCATTTAGAGACAAATAAAATGGTGTAATGCGAGAGAGTTCTGACTCAGAGATTTTAGGTAAGTTGCTAAAGAGAAAGAACTAGGATGTATAAAAGGCCCATTCTCCATCAGTTTTCCAACATGTATCCTCTCTGTTTTCTTGGTCCAGATATACAGTGCATTGTTTGTGGTTGGATGATGAAGCTTCTAGGGTCATTTTTCAGTCTCATGAAGTCTGAATCCTTAGTTTTGTCACAAGGATGCTTGGTTGTGATCATTATTAACTTAATTGTTTTTACATTTGAGAACAGGAATTATAACAAAAAAACTCCAGGATTATATCCTAGTTAAAGTTGCAACAGCTGAGTCAAAACAATTTTTTGGCCAACATCAGTTTGAAGTTTTAGTCCATGGTAGGCTGATATCTCTGGAAAGAGATAACTGAGACTTCTGAACTTTTTGCCACTAGGATCACCAATATCTTTTTTTTTCCAACTCTTTGTTTGCAACCATTATAGCTTAGCAAAGTATAGAATATAAATTATTGAGGACTTCCCTGGCAGTCTAGTGGTTAAGATTACATGCTTCCACCATAGGGAACATGGGTTTGATCCCTGGTTGGGGAACTAAGATTCTCTGTGCTTCTTAATGCAGCAAAAAAACAAAAAGAATAAATTAAGAAAATAAAGTATTGGTTAACTGAGGAGTTTAAATATGAAATCTTAATGAAACAAGATTTTTTACAAGTTTTAACATTTCTGACTATACCCATTCAGACAGAAGTCCATTCAAAAGAGCATTTGGCTTGATTTTCTGAAAGGTACATTGACATTAAGTATCTAATTTTAGATAGACAAGAAACATAGTGGTCCTTTGGTCATCAAGTCCAAGGGAAGTCTGGTTCATGACATTAAAACCAAAGAAACAGGGCAAGCTACTTGCTAGGGAGATCTAAATCCTGGGGAAATACCTGGTAGGAGAATCTCCTACAGATAGAATTTCTACAGATTCTACAGATAGACACTTTTGCTATATAAAGTGAAAGTTGCTCAGTCGCATCTGACTCTTTGTGACCCCATGGACTATATAGTCTATGGAATTCTTCAGGCCAGAATACTGAAGTAGGTAGCCTTTTCCTTCTCCAGGGGATCTTCCCAACCCAGGGATCGAACCCAGGTCTCCTGCATTGCAGGCAGATTCTTTACCAGCTGAGCCACAAGGGAAGCCCAAGAATACTGGAGTGGGTAGCCTATCCCTTCTCCAGGGGATCTTCCCAACCCAGGAATCGAACTGGGGTCTCCTGCATTGAAAGTGGATTCTTTACCAACTGAGCTATCAAATTTGCTATATTGGAAGATTAAAAACTTGATTTTTTTTTTTCCTAAAATGCTTTTCAATCCCTCAGTGCTAAATAAATGTTAAATAATTAAGCCTTAGTTTGCACATACTTTGTTTTAGATGGCATTATTTGCATTCTTTTAATTATTGTGCACTTAATATGAAAATTATAGTCTTAGATTTTCCAATAAATGTGCTTAGATAATTGGTTATTTAGTATAGACAAAAAGGAAATTAGATCCCTACTTAATATTATACCAAAAGTAAGAATTTCAGATGAATTAAGGACTAAAATTTGAAACACAAAGTTTTTTAAGTTTTAGAAGAAACTATGAGGGAGTATCTTGGCCTAAGTAATAGAGAGGATTTAATAAGTAAGTCATAGAAAATACAAAGCTAAAAGGTTTGACATATTTTACTATAGAAAATTCAAGAACTTCTGTTCATCAGAAGATTCCATAAAGACAGTAAATATACAGGGCTACAAATTGTGAGAAAGTGTCTGTATTATATATAATCAACAAGGATTGGTATCTAGCATAGCACTTAGAAAAGAACTCCCATGAAGAATAAGTAAAAAATAAGATGAGTCAACAGAGAAACTAACAAAAGACATAAATAGGCATTTCTCAGAATGGGAAAGCCAATTAACTTTTAAGGATATGAGAAAGGCTTACCCTCTTTAGTAATCTAAGAAATATTAATTAAACCATACCCTTCAGATTAGTAGAAATTTAAAAGTTGGATAAAATTGTTACCTAAAAGGTAGAATAATGAGAATTTATGTACATTGTTGATTGGAATATAAATTGATACCACTATTTAGGAAACCAATTTGTCATTGCATTTGTCAAACAAAATTGAAGTAACAGGTATCCTACTACTCAGTAATTCTACTCCTAGATATTTCCTGTAGAAAACTTCCTGTACATACACACCAGAAGATATATTAGAGGATATTTAAGGTAGTATTTTTCTATGATTACAGAAAAATGGAAGCAACCCATTCCAGCTATAGTGTAATGGATTAAATATTATGGTTTATTCCCAGAGTAAAATACTATATAGTAGTGATAATGAATTCCTGGAGAAGGAAATGGCAACCCCCTCCAGTATTCTTGCCTGGAAAATCCCATGGATGGAGAAGCCTGGTAGGCTACCGACCATGGGGTCGCAAAGAGTCAGACACGACTGAGCGACTTCACTTAGTGATAATGAATAGTTGGCAGCTACATATATCAACTTAATCACAGAAACATTACAGACAGTCCTCAATTTATGATGGTTTGACTTATGATTGTTTTGACTTTATGATGATACGAAAGCGATATGCATTCAGTAGGAACCTTACTTAGCATTTTGATTTTTTCTTGGGCTGGTGATATGTGATATGATACTTTCTTGTGTTGCTGCGCAGCTATAATGAGCTCTCAGTCAGCCACAGTCAGTCATTCCCTGTCAGCCACAAAATCATAAGGTTAAACCAACCAATACGGTATAACCATTCTGTACCCATACAATCATTCTATTTTTCACTTTAAGTATTTAGTAAATTAGATCAGATATTTGCTTTATAATAAAGTAGGCTTTGTATTAGATTATTTTGCCCAACTGTAGGCTAATGTAAGTGTTTGGAGCATGTTTAAGGTAGGCTAGGCTATGATATTTGGTAGATAAGTTACATATATTTTCGGTGGGTTTATTGGGATGTAATTCCATTGGTTTCCTAAGATGATTGGTTTCCTATCATCTCTAAGAGCAGTAGAGATGTAATCCCATTGAATGAAAAATACAAGTCACTGAAGACTGCTAAACTATGATTCCATTTATATACAAAGCAAAAACAGGCAGAACTAAATAACATATTGTTCAGGGATACATACATATGATAAAACTGTAGAGAAAAAAGGAATGATTTTCAAAACATTTGGGATAATGGTTACCTCTGGAAGATGGAATGGGGAGGATATAATCAATTGGGGAGTCTCAAACTCAGTTTTTCCATTTTTTTTAAGTTGTGTGGTAAGCACATGGGCATTTATTTATTATTCTTTGGTTGTATATACCCATCATGTTTGTTCTTTATTTGAATGATGATTTTTATTATAGAAAAATACAGCAATCTGGAAAACCTAAAGTGTAAAGAGGGAAGCAAAATAGTTTGTATTCCCTCACAGGGATCGTCATTTTGCTTTATGCCTCCTCTCTGGTCTATGATATTTCTAGTAATAAGTCTTTTTGCCCACCATTTTAGTAAAAAGAGTACTCCCTCCCCATCCTTAAATTGCCTCTCAATCTCTAATATCTTCCTGTTTGTTCGAACCTAAGACTGCCCTGGAGTGATGTTTTGAAGTTACTCCCTTCTTATATCCCTGGAGTGGCTTCCAATTGTCTGTTAAATCACTTTAAAAAGCAAGATTATAGACATTTAAAAAACTAATTTTACACTTCCTTTTCCCTTCCTCTCCTTCCCAAGACTGTGTTTCAGCTATGACAGTAGATAGGGCACATAGTATGCCTGCTTCTTAGATACCACATTGCAGACATCATTCATTCTGTCTGGATCCCTTCACATCCCAAACAATAACATAACAATAAATAAAACAACACATCCCTTTTAAATCAAACCACATCTACCTGTCAGAACTCTTTTAAGAATTTATCTTCTTTATGAAGTTTTGAAAATATTCTCTCTATGTAGATCTGTGATTGACTTCACAATGTTTGGCATGGCTGATTGGGTTTTGGGGAAGGTGGCCCAGCTTTTCTTCTCTCTTGGTATTAGGCTCAGTGCCTGGACCTTAACATAAACACAGCTTTTCTGGGTTCATATAGTCTTTTTAGTTGCCATGCCTTCCTCCAGGCGCTCTTCCCAATCTAGGGATCAAACTCAGGTCTCCCCATTGCAGGCAGATTCTTGACTATCTGAGCCACTAGGGAGTCCGAGTCTTTTAGTAGTTCTTGGTGTTTTTGTTACGGAGCTTGGGTATTGCCTTTTCTTTGTGTCTTATATTCTCCCTCACTTTGTCCTGTTCAACAGATTTTCATATTGTGACATTTAGCCTCATATTTTTTTTAGTAGATCCACTAATCTAAGCCTTCATGCCTCATTTAGTAAGGGAAGAGTGAGATATGCAGGGGTGGGAGTGGGGACAGGGAGAGGAGTCAATGATGGT